ATGGCGAATTCTGTTTTGACAACAAAGATTACAAGTTGTTTTCGCCACATTTGTCTATAGAAGGTTCTCTATCTACATATCATTAGAATAAGCACAAGTGTTCTGAAAAAACGTGAGTGAAAAAAGTGCCATTACCAAACAATCCTATATATACTAAGTAATGTTCCTACATGTTAAATACAGATAGATACTCCAGATAATTTCATTAGCTTTATCATCCTTTATGATACCAGACTTGTCAGAGAGACCTTACATTATCAGCTTATGATGTGTGTTCTTCCACTAGACCCTATATCTAACACTATAAAAACGCTGAAGGACAGTTCCTTCTCTCTCGCAAAATATTGCAATACAAAATCATAAACTCTTTCCTAAGACCCCACCAAAGTTGAATGTCAAAACGGCACACCCCAGGCCATAATAAAAACATTGTTTGTTTGCCCTCAGCCAACCGACCCGCCAAAAAGAGGCCGACTCAAAAAAATTTATTGATCTTTCCCATTCTTTTTTTTCACACAATAAATCTGTAGGCAGGACATATGTACCAAGCAAAACAAACATTCCACATAAAAGGTATCTCCACACAAGCATGTAGACACCATGCTGAATTTGTAAAAAGACCCGGGCCCCCTAAAAAAAAGAAGCCTACCCACCTACCCAAACTTTTCAGCCTGCAGCTGGGTTTACACTGACGATTTTGTGTTGCCGAATTGCCAAATTGTACGAACTTGGCCAGTTGGCAACTGACAATCGGCAGTGTAAGCGCAAAAGTTGGACGACCAACCGATCGGGCGCAGCGAGTTGGGAAATTAGAACATGTTCTAATTTCGCCAAATCGGAGCGGTCGAGTCGGACGTTTTTTGCCAAGTGGCCAATCAGAGAACAGCAATCAGGTGTGTGCCTCCACCCTAGCGGGAGAGAACGTTTTTGCTATTGGCGCCACGCTGGCGGCGTGGAATACATGCAAAAATTCGTATAGGCGGCGCCCCGCGCGTACCTATGAGTCAATGTTAAAATTTTGCGCTTTGTATATTTATAGAGGTTGGTAGAAAGAAGAAAAACGCCAAGTCGCCTGCATAAAATCGGCCTAAAATCGTCAGTGTAAACCCAGCTTGAGTCGGGTGAGGGCAAACAAAGATTTTTTTTATTTTGGTCCCAGCTACATCAAGCAATGAAGTTTTTAAAAGCAGAATGTACAGAGGGTAGTACGCAGTGGAACTAAAGGGCAAAGTCTCACTGTATCTGCACACCGTGTACTAGAGCTGAGAGGGTCTATGTCCCCCGGGGTACTGCCGGAACGTACCCTGGTACTATCTAATATGCCGAACCGTACCTCGTCTACTCCACTAACGAGTCTAGGGAGTCGCCTACGCCTACTCCCTAACCCGAACCCGAACCCTAACCCTAATCCTAACCCTAACCATATCACTAACCCTAACCCTAACCCTAACCCTAACCATATCAAATAGTGACCAGGGTACGTTCAGGTATACCGGACCGTACCCAGGGTACGTTCCGGCAGTAACGTAACCAGCGACCGTTACCAGGCCCGTAACCAGCGAGTTTTGCGGGGGGGATCGAATTAGGTGACACCCGGAACTCGAAGGCGGAGCCCGAGCGCGGCGGGGGGTATGGGGGGCCCTCCCCCAGAAAATTTTGAAAAAATGGACCCCTTTAGCGCCATTCTGACGTATTTTCTGCTGCGTTTGAGCCTACATTTTCAAACCAGTTTTTTTGTAAAATAATGTTTATGTATTACTGGAAACAAAGATGGTTTAGAACATACACATACGATGTGTAAACCGTAAACTGTAAAATGCCGGCTATACATAACATAGCCACATATCATATCATCACATACATATCA